ATCATGTCTGCATTATCCACACATACTTGTGGTGAACATGCAATCAAAAACATGCTCTGGTAATATGATGGCATTGTCTTTGAAACTGATTGGTCTACACCAGAGACAGCCTTCTTTCGAGCCGAGTCTCAACCAGTTTTTAGACCAGAGAACGCCAAAAGGCGAACAGCACATGTTTGCATGTTCACCACAAGCACGTGTTGTTGATGCAGACATTATTCCTTGCAACAGGATTGTTTGGTGTTTGAACATCTTAACACCTTCTGTTTTATTGATACTGGCAAGCAAGGTGCCTTTGGCAGGGCTGTGCTCTGGGCTTATCGGTGCCGCATTCCGCACGGCGGTGACGATGACGACACCGCCGCCTTCTCATTTTCTCGGTAAAATGCTCATTTATAATTTGACATCAACCCGGAAGTCAAAATGTTCCAGGCGGTGTCTGGGGTTTACATAGTGACAGAAAATATTTATATCGAGGGGAAAAAACCCAAGGGTCACGTGGCCTGGTGAGTGCATTCTATTAAGAGGAACAAAGTGGATTGATGCAAATAGTGTTAAACCTCAATTTTTAATCTGCTGCTGGATGAATGCCCTCCCTACGCCATGTCGGTCTTCAAGGGTTGTTTGACCATACTTTTATTTGATCAATTAATTAAAATATTTCGCCTGCAAAATCCCTTGCGACTTAACATCGAGGGTGTCCAGGGTATCGTACTCCACCAGGCTGGTCAGCGCGAGATGCTACTCACAACCGATATCTTCAGCAGCTGTGGGTCAGCGATTGAACGAAGGCAACACGGTTCAAAAAGTACAGTGGCTACTCACTGCGCCACCGCTCCCCACAGCCTTCATGTGCACATTTGCTCAAATGGTCTGATAACTGCGGGCCCCATTGACAGATTGAGAATTTGGCATCTTTGGAGGCTTCCCTTCGAGTGCCCCCCCACCCCCACCGTGCTTCCTGGAAGTGCCGTCTTTGCCAAAGAATAATAACGACGACATGCACAGGGGACTGGATGCGTGTGACAGCACGCGAAGGCGTGTACACACGTGGGGGGGGGGGGGGGGGGGTGATGCGTGTGAACGTGACTTGCACACTTATATTCCCAACGCTTGCGTATACATCGCCCCCGTGCGCGTCCACGCGCGTGCGTGCGGTGCGTTTGTGGGTTGCAATGCCGACAGACAGAAGGCGAGCAAGCGGGGTTGAATTGTCACACGTCTGTCCCCGTTCTCATCGGCGGCATCTAATCTCAACCCCCTTTCTGTTGATGCAACCAATTTCCACCGAGTTCAATTTCAAAGAGAAATTCCAGCCCCCCCCCTCTCCCAGCCACAAACAAGGCCATTACAGAGCAGTTCAATAAATGTGCGAACGCCGTCCACATCGCCGCACACCAGACACCTTTCCCCTCGAGTTATTTTAAGGGCGGCTGTAGCTACCGGAGCGCTCACGACCTCCTCCATGGTGACAGCGTAGCGTGGGCTCCGGAAAAAAAACAACCGAGCTCATCACTCTCGCTGTTTGCGTTTAGAGTGGGGGGACCGGCGGGCGGGATTCACTCCAAGTTCGACGGGCTTTAGAGAGAGAGAATTTCAGGTACCCAAGGGAAATGTTTTCATACTTGCGTGGCATAAACTGAAGCAGGTCAGCAAGTGTTCGGTGGCGTTGCCGGCCTTGGGGGTGTGGGGTAGGGAAGAGACTGGACACAATTGACGGTGGGTTGGTGGGGAGGGGGGGGCAGCGGGAGGATCGCGGGGATGACGGCTGGATCAGCCGAGCGAAAAGTACAAAGGGCGGGCCTTCCCAGGCGCTGTGCGTGCTAGATCCAGCGCTGGCTACACCGGCCTTTGTTTGCAAACCAGAATTACTGGGCTGGAAAGCAAACATTCGCTGTTTGGGCAATGCAAACAACACTGCGAACAAAGAACCCATTTCCTTTCCAGCAGGGTACACTACCCTTCAAACCCATTCCCCCCCACCCCACCTCAAAGCCTCCCCCTTAAAAAGCTGTCAGACCATCCCCCTCCCCACCACCACCACACCGCCGCCGCCGCCACCCCTTTAAACCAACGAATGGTCTGGCATTCAAATCCTGTTGTGACCTTACAATGCCTCCGCTCCCATCCTCCCTAAATTTAGGATTCCTAAAACAACTGCTGCCGGGGCCCAGCTGAGCAACCCCGGGCTTAAAATGTTCCACATTCCAACGTGACAAAGGCTTCGCTTTGTAGACATGCACGAGGGAAGATGGGGGAAAAAAACACGAAGACAACTGAAGAAGCAAATGAGTGGTGCTTTAGGGCAGGCAACTTTTCTTCAGGCCAATTCCAAAGTTGAGATAACACAAAGGGGCTACAATGACGGAGCTTGACTCATGTTCTGCCAGCAGCCATAAAGGAGGCAGGATTGCTGCCCTAAACATTAATCTCGGCAACGCCGAGGGGTCAGTGACATGCCCCTTTATGGCGAGGCAAAGCTTGAGGCTTGGCCACGACACGGGCAGACACCGTGCTTCCGCGTGGCCATAGCGAGGGCAAGCCGTCCACTCGGGCATTCATCCTGAAATCCTCCTACATTGCATAAAGAAAAGCCGTCTTGTATCAGACCCCCCAACCACCACGCAGCCCAACCTTCCCCCAACCACGTGCTAACACGCCATCAATCAGCACTTACGGAAACAAAAAAAACAACAAAAACCACCTCGAATATAGTGCCAACTGGTTCCAAGCTGTGACGCACCTCCATTCTCACCATTGAAACTTGAGATATCTTTTGTGACCTTCCCTTCCACCCCACCATTCCGTCGAGAAACGCGACTGGTGTCTGGTAGTCTACAGTAACGTAAACACTGCTACATTATTTCATCAGACCGCACGCTCGCCACTTAACCGGGAACAACTTTTTTTCCACCCCTTAACATTACACCTGAACTTCAGGTATTTAACGCAACGATTTAGAATTGCCTAAGAGTGATTGCTTATCATTAAAAATAAAATAAACGGAGGAAACAACACACACGCGCACACACACGCGCGCACGTGCACATACTCCTTACCAAGCACTCCCCGTGTGCTGACATTGTGGAGAAATAATACATTCCAAATGCCAACGCTTCCTCTTTTCACTTTGAAGAGACACGTGGGAAGAGCCCGCTTTGATCCATAATGTATGCTGCGGGAATCTCAAGGGAGAATGACACAACTCAAATATGCGTCCCAACACATGGCGCACAACACAACAGCAGCCCCTGCAACAGGCCCAACATCATTCTGCTCATCCGACACGTCGGCTACTCAAGCGCAACTGTAAACATTGACCAACGTCTTTCCTACGTCCAACACTGTGCAGCGCCAATTGGGCATTTAGATTCCCCGAAGTACAAATGTTATAATTTTTGCGTGTGACAAAAAAAATATATATCTAAACCCGATTAATATTTTCGCTCACACTCACCCAGACACGGCAAGCCCATTTAAGTTCATGAGTAATGGAAAGGGCTGCGCGATAATCGTTAAGAGCGAGGTTACAGTGAGGACACGTTTGGCAATACTCACCTTTAACCTCCCAAAGCAGCTCACAGCAAAATCGGACACACCCTTGTATCAACAGTTTGTAAAAAAAACCCCACATCGTCTAAAATTGCAAAGTTTACATTTGGCAGGTGAATTAAACATCCTCCTGTCAAACTGACAGATTTTGCCTTTGTTTGTGTTCCAGTGTTGCAGTTGTGTGCGCCACATGCCGCGTCTTGCCAAACTCCAAATTCCGTCCACTCAGAAGCTGTAAAAAAAACTGCCCGAGGTGCTGAGATCATTATGTCTTTATGTTCCCATTTTGCCCGATTTAATGCTTTGTTTTTTTGGAAGGCTTATCTACACCCCACTGTCCCCCGAGAGGGCCCAGTTTAGCTGATTCAGAGCATGGTGCAGATAGCGAGGGTCATTAGCCTCCTGAATCATCTGCAACCCGAGGGAAGGAAGACTCGTTGTGAATTGTTAACGTAGAGATTGGCGGGAGGGGGAGGGAGGCAGCCGTTGACAAAACAAACCACGTAGTGGAATTTGAGCCCATCTGCTCCCTCACTCTTCTTGTCCGTGCTAGCCCGGGGTGTTTACATAAATTCCGTCATGCTTTCAGGAGGTGGTGGTGGCAGTGGAGGGAGAGAAACTCTGCTGCATCAAGTGGAAACCCAAATCCCATTCCGTGCTCGCCAACCCTCCCGAATCCCCGCTTGCTGCACACAAAAAAGACAACCACGCAGTCCGCTTGCCGCTTCTGGCGAGGGGCTCCTTTCTTATTTTTTTGGCCTAACAGATTTTCGAATCGAAGCCCCCAATGCCTCGGATGTCGAGCTGTCCAAAATCCACAATAGATGGCGTTACGAGAGCCAACAACAGTTGTTGCTAGGGGTGGAATTTAAATTAGTCGCTCCGGCGGATTTCGTGGTCTGGGCTCCCTGCCAGAAATTCAACAAACCCCCACCACCTCCAACCTCCCCCGCCTCCCCCTCCAAATGTCATCGTAAACAGCTTTCATGAGAAGCACGCCCACATGGATGGCTTGGAAGTTCAACTGCCGATGTGCAAAGAAGAAGCCAGCTCCGACAGGGAGGCCTTGTGAAAACCACTCCTCGGCCACAAAACTCTTGGATTTCGTGAAATGCAAAACTCCAAAGGGGTGCACGCAAAAAAATCCACGTGATGTACGTCAGCGCACAAGCCAGCAAAATGCATTCATCGGGGAAAGTGGATATCACGTCGTTTGCGCATGTTTTTTTTGCACCTCCAATGTACAGATTGAGCATTCACAAAATCCTTCATGCTTGGGGGTGAACGGCGCTTAGAAGCAGAACGGACACTTCCACGTTGCTGAAATTGCCATGCTTTGCGCGAGCTCCCAATGCAGACCGTCCCCGTCTTTTGCAATCACCGTTTTGGCACAGCTGGAGTTATTTAATATGTAATGTGCATTAAAAAAAACAACTCGCACAAATGTATAGGTTTGTACACAGAACTGTATTTACATACATTACTGATGACAGCAGTGGATGTTGACATAACAGAAAAAAGTTGTCTAATTTATGCATGATCTATACTGTGTGATACTATTCCTATGTTGCACTCAATTAAACAAAACAAGACGAGGCTGGACAAAGCATTTGGCAATCTATTTTAAGTGCGTACATCAACTGGAGAGGAAATGTGATAATTTCTGAAGTGTCATACAAAGTTAAACATTGAGCCGTGAGCAGCCTGCGATCGCTTTAGCTTTGTGAGTTTCACCACCAAAGCTTACTCCTATTTTAACAGAAAGATACGCCGATAAAACAATAAACAGGGAGAGAAAAAAAATCAATAACTAAAGCAATTACTAGAACAGTACATACCTCCAAAAATATATGACACTTGTATTAGCAAATTCGTTTAATCAAAAACGAAAGTCTTCCTAAATATTTACATTTGAGTAAGTACAGTCCACCCAACGGCAACATAAAAGTCTCAACCAGCCCGTGCCCTCTCAGCTCTGTGTTTTTTTCATCACCATCAATTTCGTTTGTTTAATACGTACATATATAATAACAATGGGATCGCACGCTCTGTGAAGGCCCTAATGGTCCATCTCCTTCTTGACGGCCAGTATGGTCGCTATTTCACCCTGCATGAAGGCCCAGGGCACGTTGGAGCCCACCAGGGGACACTTCTGCCCGCTCGGGCAGTACACCTCGCCGTTGACACCCTGCTTCTTGATGCTCTCGCGCGAGCACGGGAAGCAGAACTTGTGTGACGGCACGGACGGGCACTGCACGAAGTGCGTGTCCTCCAGCCGCTCGTGGCAATTGGTGCAGCACAGGGGCCCGTTGCCCGCCACGGACGAGTCCGGCAGGGACTGTGGCACCGACTGCTCGGCGTCCGACTGCGAGCTAGGCCTCGGCGTCTCACCATTGCGCACTGCGCCGCCTCCTCCTCCGCCTCCTCCTCCTCCACCTCCTCCTCCACGACGCTGCTGCTGCTGCTGTTGCTGCCCGGCTGCAGATGCGGGTGAAACGGGGCTGCTGCTGCTGCTTCGCTTGGCCGTGGTGGAGTGTACCTGGTTGTTGCCCTCCTTGGGCGACTGCGCCGTCACCAGGTTGTCGGCGACTGACATGAGCGCGGCCATGGGGGACGTCCCGTTGCGCAGGGTTGACTCGGGAGGCGTCGTGCGGCTCGAGTTGAGCGCGGCCGCTGGCGGCGGGTGAGGCATGCTGGGCGGGTAGCCTCCCCCTCCTCCTCCTCCTGCCCCGGCCGCCGCCGCCGCCGCCGTGCCACCTGGGGGAGGCGGCGGCATCCACGGCTGCTGCCTGCCGTGTGAGTGGTCCTCGCTTCCGCCACCGCCGCCTCCGCCGCTTCCGTTCACCTTGGGGCCACCGCTGCCCACCGAATCCGGGGGCTCGGGCGACGCTTTCCGCTTGCGCTGCCCTCGGCTGCCCAGGTATGCGCGGGGCACGCTGCAGTACACGGTGGGCAGCACGGGGCAGCCGGGGTCCAGGAAGGGCACGGGCAGCATTTCCCCTCGCGGCACGTCCCTGAAGAAGCGCACGGAATCCGTGAGCAGCTCGGACATGGGCCGCCAGTCGCCCGTGCCGTGCTTGCGCTCGTACTCGAGCCACTTGAGGCCGGACGAGGGCCCGCGGGTGAAGTCCTTCATGCTGTCCTGGCACATCTGCCGCGCGGCGCCCGACGCGCTGGGGAACACCACCCCCGTACCGCTCGGGTACTCCACGAACACCTTCAGCTCGTAGTAGTCCGAGGCGCCCTTCCCCCCGCCGCCGCCGCCGCTGGCGCAACCGCAGTCCACGGCCACCACGCGTCCTCGCTGGAGCGTGGGGTCCCGTTTGAGGCGCACGTCGAACGGGGTGCTGTTGGACAGCGTGACGAGCGTCTCCCGCACCGCCTTGGGCCGCCCGGGCCACTCCTCGGCGCGGTTGCGCACGCTCTCCGCCAGCTCGGCCAGGGCCTCCACGCCGCGCTTCTCCTTCAGGTCCCGCTCGCCGTCCACGGACGAGGACGACGACGACGAAGACCCCCCACGCTGATGCTGCTGCTGTTGCTGCTGCTGCTGTTGTTGTTGCTGTTTCACCCCCAGCGCGTCCATACTCACGCCCAGTGACAGCGGCAGACCCGGGTGCTGGTGCGGGTGTCTGCCAGCTCCTGGGTGCCCGAAGCCCAACGGTAGCTGGTGGTGCTGTTGTTGCTGGTGGTGGTGCTGCTGTTGCTGCTGCTGCTGCTGGTGGTGGTGGTGTTGCTGGTGTTGCTGCTGGTGGTGTGGGCCGCCGCCGCCGCCACTCACCATGTGGTGCGGGATGAGGCTGGGGGGTAAGGCGCCGGGCGGCGGCACGGAGTGCGTCCGGCGCGGGTTTGGGCTCTGCCTCTGCAGCTCGGGCGGCTGCTCCTCGACCTTGGGGAAGCCGTTCACGGCCGGCGACGCGGGCAGCCCGTTCGTGATGCGGCCGGGCGCGGCCGGCGGGTGGAACTCCAGCATGCGGGCGCGCTCCGCGGCCGCCGCCGACAGCTGATAGCGTTCCATGGAAGAGGCGGCTTGGTGCGACAGCGACCTGCCGCCCATCATCTCCACGTGGTTCATAGGCACGTCCTTGGACGACGACGATGCCGCGGCAGAGGACGCCGAGGACGAGGAGGAGAGCGCGTCCACCTTGAGCGAGGCGGCGAGCGAGGCGGCGAGGGAGGGCGCCGAGGAGGGAGGTCCAGGCGAGCGGCCGTCCTGAAAGCCGTGGGTGCGCTTGAGCGTGCGCGCCGTGTCCAGCACCAGCTCGATGCGGTCAGCTCCCTCGTAGTTGACGCAGCCGCGGCACACGGGCTCCGAGAAGTCCCACAGCATGGCCCAGGGCATGCGGGGCAGGTCGCACAGGTAGCACGACTGGCGGCGCGACGCGGCGGACGCGGCAGAGGCCGCGGCAGAGGCCGCCATGGAGGTGGATGACATCGCGCGGCGCGGGCTGAAGCCGACGGGGGTCTGCTACTGCCGCTGCTGCCGCTGCTGTTGCTGCTGCTGCTCTGAATGACCGCAGTGTTTTGCTGCTGTTCGGAGCGAGGAAGCTAGCACATCCCCGACACCCGCCCACCCCGACCTCCCCCCCCCCCACCACCTCCTCCTCCTCCTCCTCCCTACAAATTATCGCAAGACTGCGGTAAAGCCCGCTGCAGAAACACTACAATAATAATAACAACAACCGACCAAAGGCGGTGGAATTAACGATGGCAGCAACAATAACAACACCACTACGACTCGACCGCTCGCGCAGTTTGCCGGAGCGTGCGCGGTGCTTTTACGCACGACAGCGGCGGCAGCGGCGGTAACAAGTGGCGCTGTGTGTGTCTGGGGGGCGATGACGACGACGACGACGCGGCTGCTGCTGCTGCTGGTGGCCGCACACGTGGCCGTGCCGATGCCAAGTGGCGCTGAGCGCGGCGCGTGGAGGAGCTCCGTGGGTCGCGCGCGCGCCGCGTTTCTTGTGCACGCGGCGCCGCGCGGCACCGCGGGCCGTGATGAGCCGTGACGTCACAGCGGGCTCATTACTCATTCCGGAGGGGGGGGGGGGAGCCCTCCTCCCCCTTGCTCCCCATGTACACCACCATCACCATCACCACCCCACCCCCCGTCTCTCTCGCACGCTTCCTCCTTGCTCCGTTCTTCCCCCCCCACTCGCCGCCTCTCTTCATCACCCCCCCCCACCACCACCTCTCCAACGCACCCCTCGCGTTTCTATTCCTTTACCTCCTCGCCAGATCGAGCTGCCTCTTTCAAGCCTTGTCGCTGGCTACCCCCCTCCCCACCAGCTTCCTTCACCTCGTCTCCCCCCAACCACCTCCCCCCCTCTACGCCTCCCCCCTTTCAACGGCGGTCATGCTCGGCTCTAAAATATCCACTTTTACCATGTCCCTCTCACTCCACACCTCCCCCCCCCCCCATCCTTCTCTCTCTCGCAAGGTCTCTCTACCTTGCATCTCTCTCGCCTCTGGCTTTTGCTTCGCGATCATCTCTCTCCCCGAAGATGCGTCTTCTCGCTCGCTCGATCCGTGTTGCACGTGGAAGGGAAAACCTGAGTCAAGACTCAGCGACAGAACCCTTGCCATGCACCTCCCGGGAGGAGGAGAGACGTCCCGACTCTCACGACTCTCCCCGACATCCCCGACACAATCTGTGCTGCCATCTCCAGGTCGCCGCGCAGCCGCAGCGGATTTGAGAGTTAAAATTTTGCGTGGATCCACCAAACGCCTCTCTGTCTTGTCTCACTCCCCCCACCCTTCGTCTCGCTCGCTCGACTCACAACATACAGTGGCCCCCTCTGTGTGTGTGTCCCAACCGATCACGACCGACGATCTTACTTAACCTGCACGAGACGAGCGTGGGGAAGTATGGCCACATATACCCCCAAATAACCCACGGGGGAGGCTTGGGGTGGCTTTTCAGTAATCCATTTCCATCGGGATTACTCTCATCACGCGTGTCCTTCAGCAGCGCGCTCGTCTCTTCCTTGCATCACCACCATCACCATCCATCTCGTACGAGACAAAGATCCCCCGTGTAGCCTCGACGGACTGTTGGGGCAAGTGCTGTGAGCGAGAAGCACACGAGGGGGTGGCCAGCACCACGCCCGGCCGCCTTTGTCTCCCCAGTGGGAAAATGTACACATCGCACCAGGTACTCATTTGTGGCTGAGTCGACATAGGGGGAGGCCCAGGGCGGGTTCAGATAATTATCGTCACCGGTGTTGATGGTCGTCAGCGGGAATCGAACTCACGCGGGGGTATACACACGCAGATGTACACACACACGCGCGGGTACATACATACACGCACGTGTCCACACACGCACGTGTATACACACGCGCGCGGGTACATACATACACGCACGTGTCCACACACGCACGTACGTGTGTACATACATACACACACGAGTGTGCACACGCACGTGTACACACACGCGCGGGTACATACACACGCACGTGTCCACACACACGGTTACACACACGCACGCGTGGGTACATACACACACACACGCACGTGTACACACACACGCGTACGCACAACGCCCCCTTGCTCCGCGCACTCGCGCAGCCCACGCCGTGGCCCAGGGCGTGTACAGTAGCGAGTGAGCGAGTGGCTGCTGCTGCTGATGATGCTGCTGCTGATGATGCTGCAAGGCGGAAGACGCAGCCTTGCAGCAGTTGCAGCAGCAGCGTGAGCCTTCGCTGTTGTTTCCTCCTGCAGCACGCGGGCCTTAATCGCAACACAATTATAATGTACCGAGGCCCCCGCTCACTATTGACGCTTTAACGCTGCGGATGTCTCGGTGGGAGGGGGCGGTGCAGGCCGCCGCGTCACGTGACGCCCACCGTGACCTCCCCGCGGTTCAACCCCAACCCCCCCCCTCACCCCCACCCCCCATCCCCTCTCGGCGAGGCTATTATTAGCCGGATGGTCTAAATAACACGTCGAGTTGATGTGGCCAGACTTGAGTTGTGCTTATATTTTGATTTTTATCTACAATGCTCCCCACAACGTCACATATTCCGCTTGGGTACAGTTACTGCTGCTGCTGATGCTGCTGCTGATGCTGTTGCTGCTGCTGCTGATGCTGCTGCTACTGATGCTGCTGCTGCTGTTACTGCTGTTACTGCTGCTGCTGCTCGAGCAACGCGGTCGCATAGTTTGTATGGAGTCATCTCGCCAATGAGGCCTGATACATCCAGAAGGATTTGTTTGGCAGGCGTTTAATACGGCTGATGAGACCCAGAAAATCGAACCCGGTCTGGAGTTTGCTCAAGAAAATGTTGCTTGATAATGTTCGTCTGGAAACCCACGAGGTTGATGGACTAAAATGCAATACGTTAACGTCTCCCATATGTACAGCCACATTAAAATACGTCTTTTTGACACGAACCATCGGCCACACTGCTTTCTGGGAATGCAAAGTTGAAGCAACATCAGTCGCATACAAAATTGGGAACGGTTTCGATATTCGGTGTCCCATCAGCAGACCCCCACAGACGCTCGTGGACCTGCCGTACGTTTCACGACGGGTTTACCACGTGGGACTTTCGCGACATTTGGCGTAAAAAAAACAGAAACGACGTGGCAATCGCGGGACGGAGCGAATCTATTCCTCCGTAGATGACCCCTCCGTAGATGACCCCTCCGTAGATGACCCCTCCGTAGATGACCCCTCCGTAGATGACCCCTCCGTAGATGACCCCTCCGTTCGAGCGGTTTACACGTCTTCTGCTAAAGCTCCTCCTTCCCCCCAAGATGTGAACGACAAGCCCGCGAGGCAAACAAACGCGTTGCTACCCACTGCCACCCAACCCACCACGGGGGGGGGGGGGGGGGGGAGTAAGCCACGATGCTCCCCGGGGCTGCCGAGCGCCGACCGGCCTTCTCAGGGCGCCCCCCCCCCCCCCATCGGACTCTCTTGGCGACTTCAAAGAGCGCGAACAGCGCTCGCCAACACGTGGATTGCGGGCTGCGTGATGTTTGGCAAATCGGCCGCTTGAGCCTTTTTACGCCGCGTTGTCACTTCGCCGTCCGTCTGGCGCGGTCGAGATGGGACCGTGTCAAGTTCGCACGACCTAAATCCGCACGTGGGCCTCTTGCCCGCTGGTAAAGCAGCAGCAACAGCAGCAGCGCGTATCATTTACGCGAGGATAACACGTAACGTCAGGCGATATTTACACGAGCGAGCTATCATGCATGGGATAACAGTCATGCTCTAACTAGCAAATGAGAGAATGTACCCTCAATTGTGTGACAGAATCAGAAACTTTATTTAGACCACAGGAGGAATCCGGTGAGCCATGATGCTCCTTTTTTCAGAGATCTCCAGTATGAGCGAGTCAGCAAGTCACAATTCAGTTTGTAATGTGGATGGGTGACACCGGTGATGGAATTGCAGGCGAGGTGAAGGAGGGCAAGCACTGGCTATATGGGGCGATGCTATTATTAGTTCATGCCCAGGAATAAGATGTATTGTGATATTACAGGACTTTTGAGGGATGGCAAAAGCGTGGGGAGAACATCCAGCAGTGAACAAAGCATGGCTAATAATGTAAGAGCGGATACGTCAGGAACCCATTTGCTGTACTGTCATCTCCTGGCCAACTCCCAGCCCTACACCTACAACCCCTGGCAGTGCCCGGCCGGTGATCACCCTTCCACGTGCTGTACTAACCAGACTGAGATCCTTCCTTGGCTCAGAAGATAATCCCGATGCAGGACCGTCCAGAATGTATTTAGACTCAGTGAGGCTTTCCTGGGTTAAAGGGCATTACTGTTGGCACTAACGGCATGCCCAAGACTGACGAGTCCCAGATGTGTTTACAGTAGTCTTGAGGACACTCCAGTTTCGTGGGTAAGGGATCAAGAGAGCAGTGCCCCCCCACCCTCCTGCACCGTTCTCAGCCCCCCACCAGCAACAACGTCCATGTGAGGCCGCTCATTACCGAGGAACAAAGTGGCTCGGATCGCACGCGCTTTCATCTCCCCCATCAAACAACTTCTGAAGCCCTTTTTCCATTTTGCCTCTTAAATAAATGCCACGGAGGCGCGTGCGATATCATCTCACGAAGCCTTGAGCGCACAACAATACACAGCACTGAAACACGGTGAGGAGCTTGGTAGCTACTGTTACTGTATTTGGGAAATAAGCGGTCTTCGTCTGCACGTAAAAATAAAGCCTTTTAGTCCACCAGCCTATGCACTGTATGGGCCTTTCAAGATATACAGTACATATTTTTTTTCACCAGTATTTGTTGAAGCAGGCAAATCCTCGGGCGGATTTTATTTTCTGAATATCATCAACAGCAACTGCCTGATCTGTTAAGCAAATGCTGCCGATTATTGCCCGGTTACTGTACATGCACAAAAAGCCATCCACGAGAATAACACGTGGCCCGTTCAGACCAAAACAGCAGAACTGTCCAAAATTCTTTACCATCTTACTCTTTTGACGTTAATTTCCAAGGCGGGCACTTATAAACGTCACCGTAAACATCACAATCCATTCTGTGTCCACCAATTATAAGCATGCCTGTCTACCCACCCCGGCGCGTTGGCAGCGTGATGCAAAACAACA